GCTTTCCTTAATATGTCAAGGTAGTTGGACTGAAACATTGATTACATACAAAGGCACGTCTGCTTAAAATAAATCTGCACTTTTGTTTATTTTGAAGCCTATGAGTGCGCTTTTTACATTGAAGTACTTTTTAATTTTAAGTTATCTGTTCTAACTCTGTATCTGCACACTATGCTGGCGCGACGCATTATGGGGCTGGTAAATATTTTTTTTCCAGGGCTGCTTTTAATTCCCAGTCCGGCCCTGCTGTGTGTGTGTGTGTGTATTTAGAAGGTGGGGCAGTGGGGAAGGGTTGGGTGGGGGTGGAGCGGGGTGCGGGGGATGCCTGAGTTTTGTCCTGCCTAGGGCAGCACAAAACCAGGATACACCACTGATCACAGACATACACCTTTAAACACTCCCACAATTACATCACAATCCCTCCTCTCTATCCTGGAGGTAATTGGGAAGTAATCCAATTATCTCCAAGGACAGAGGCAAAACTCCATTACACACATTTTCAGCAAAAGACACAAAATTACACACAGTCACTTTTATAACATAAAACATATACATCCTACCTATCCCCAGATAGCTTAGATCTGAGCGCACATTACTACCGAATGGCGCTCAGATCACATACATACAGTCCAATCGCCATGGAGCTAAAGTCTTTCCCATAGTCTTTCGTTCCATGAATAGGCTCCATGGCATAGCTATCTGGGGTGATGCTGTTCATCCGGTTAAACTACCGAATGAACAGTCATTCGGTTCCGCTACTGAATGCAGAGGTAAGGAGACTGGCGGCTCAGCGGTGTTCGCGCAAGTCAGTGTCCGTTTTCAGTTCCATAGTTTGGGCGCTGAACACCGCTGGCCATTCAGGAGTTAAAATGGCTGCTGCCACGTGTTCGGCAAGCGAACAAAGGCCACCCAGCTTTCATCAATTATGCTGCGGTTAACCGCAGCTTCTGGGCGGTCAATTGGCGGCACACTCCAGTTCCCAGGTGGTCCATCAATCGGTACTTTGTTCGGTAGATTGAATCTACTGAACACCCCGGCAGAAAGGCACGAATACACCTTTCTGCAGTGAAAATAAAAGGTTTGAACTGCCGGGCCATAGTCTAAAGGGAGCAGGCGAGCAACCAGGCTTCTCCAGTGTACAGTGGCGAGGTTGGTTCCGCCACAATGACAGTGATGGCAGCGAAGCAGACATTATGCCCACTTCCACACAGTAATGTCCCAGCTGTAGCTGTTTGTGTCACAGCTGTGTCCTTTTTTCTGTGACACTGTGATAGTGCATAAAAGCTACAGCGAGAAACCGCGATACAGATTTCACTGTTGTGACTTTAAGAGCAAAATCGGGGTTGTTGGCATGTATCACTTTTTCCTGATTCCTCCAATCTCAGAGCTTTGTCAATTTTACGGGCATTTATTCTTTACATCCAACAACTGCGTGTGTTTGGAAAAGACCTGCCTCCATTACAAAAAAAATTACTAATTATTTATTTGATTATATCACTGAACAGATAACATAAAAACCACAGACACCGAGTCATCTTTTCCTGGGATTGTGTCTGAATTATTAATACATGCATAGTGCCCCCTGCTGGCCATACTATAAGCTACAGATACATGAACAGTATTGTCTTTCCCAGTAATGATGGGAGTATTGAACACAGACTGAGATCGTACCAGTATGTGT